GCTTGAGGGCCAGCCGATCGGCTCGTGTTACAGCATACAGGGCCCTGTCCAAATCAACACGGAACTCGGGGGTGTTTGCCTTGCTTCGGCCATTATCTTGGCCCGGTTGGTGTAATCTATGCGATTTAAGAAACTGTCATCACTTTGTGGTTGTGGGGCCGTGGCGAAACCAGCGGCGAAGTCTGGGAACAGCTGATATCCTGAGGCTTAACTGCTCGGATGACGTACGTGAGGAAGATCTGCAACTGCCACCCCTGGCCACTCTACCCTGCCTCCTTCGCCTTTGACATTGCTGCAGGCTGCCGCTAAGGCTGCAGAGGAGGCAGCGGAGGCGGCTGAAGAAGCGAGGGAGGCGGCTGAGGAAGCACAGGAGGATGCGGAGGAGGCAAAGGAGGATGCGGAGGAGGCAAAGGAGGCAGCCGAGGAGGCACAGGAAGCGGCGGAGGCAGCTGCCGATGCGGCCGAGGAGGCAAAGGCTGAGGAGGAGGCAGAGAAGGCGATCCTCGAGGATGCGGGTGAGGTGGCAGAGGAAGCCGCAGATGACGCAAAGGAGGCGGCCGAGGAGGCGGCGGACCAGGCCGCCGAGGCGGCGGAGGGTGCAGAAGATGCTGCCTTGGCGGCGGAGGAAGCGGCAGAGGCTGGCGATGCGGCATCTGAGGCGGCGGACGAGGCTGATGAGGCCGCTGATGCTGCAAAGCGGGCAGCTAAGGCAGCTGAGGAGGCCGATGGGGCTTCAGAAGCTGCCGAAGCGGCGGAAGAAGCGGCAGAAGCAGCCGAGGACGCTCAGGATGCTGCAGAGGAAGCAGCAGACGCGGCAGAGGAAGCGGCAGAGGCCGCGGAGGAAGCAGCAGAGGCTGCGGAAGAGGCGGCCGAAGACGCCGAGGAGGCTGAGGAGGCGCTGGAGGAAGCCCAGAAGGCGTTGGCGGCTGCCAGGGCCGCGCTGGAGGCGGCTGACACCGCCGAGGAGGTGAAGGAGGCCCGGGAGGCGGCTCGCGACGCGGAAGAAGCTGTGGAGGTGCGTTACGGCGTAGAGAGGCTGTCGCTTTCGAGGGTGTATAAGCGGTTGTGGAAACGTCCTGGGCCTGGTTAGCAGGTCTGGGCTTCCCTGAATCGCTTGTCTTGTGTGCCAGTCTTGTGTGCCAGTCTTGTGTGCCAGTCGAGCAGTCCAGATGTTGTGCAGGGGGTTCTATACCCGTATATGCCTCCAACCTGGAACGTGGTTTGCTATGCAAGGCAAGGCAAGGCAATTTCTTTAATTTTTAACCAGCATAACAAAAGAAAACATTTCTTCAAGTTTATCGTACACCTGGCGGATCTTGCCCTGGCGCTTTTGCAGGCCGCCGCTAAGGCTGCAGAGGAGGCAGCGGAGGCGGCTGAGGAGGCGAAGGAGGCGGCTGAGGAAGCAGCCGAGGAGGCAAAGGAGGCAGCTGAAGATGCGGCG